CGTCACCTACAATGCCAAAGCAAACAGTTCCCAGCCAGGCTGCTTTCCCTTCAACATTGTCATAGTCAGGTCCCTCTTAAGTTCCTTTTTCTTTTTTTTTAAGTAAACATTTAGTAATATAATGTATGCAAAACACCAAAATGATCCCTTGGCGTACAGTCGGCACTCCACCACACTCCGTCCTGCCCCAGGGCTGGCACACAGAGCTGGATGTGTTTTGCTCTCTTGGATTTCACTCAAGCCCTACTTTGTGTGGGAAAATGAATAACTGCAAAAAAAAATTGCTTATTTTCAAACATACCAAGAATTTCTTTTTAAGAACAGCTCATATTAGCGTCTTTATTGTGTCCCAGGCCCAAACTGGTTCCCTTTTGCATGACTGTATTTCATTCTTACACAGTTCAATGGGGGAGTCCAGCCACGGAGGAGCAAAGACAAAGTGAACTGTGGTCAGGGCTATGGAGGCTGGGACAGACCAAAGCTGGGATTGGAACCCAGGTTCGTCACAGGTGGGTACCAAACAAAGCCCTCTTTGCATTTGTGTATATTTCCCGTGACTTTTTCTCCTGTCCCAACACCCCCCCACACACATGACTTGGAGTTTTGCTGCAGTTAGGTTTGTATTTTGTTTTTAATTTTTTTTTTAAAGTTTTCCAAAGTACATTCTCATTGAGTCTGGTAGCTGGGAATGTGGGATAAGAATGGGATTACACAAGAGCAAGGAGGAAGGGACAGCAGAAGGAACAAGTCCTAAGGCAGCATCAGCCAAAAGCGGGAAGAGCAGTGACCCCAGGCCCATGCAGGCCAACAGGAACGCATTCCACTCTTTGGGCACAGAAATGTTAAATCAGATATGCACGAGGCTGGCATGGTGGCACAGACAGCTAAGCAGCTGCCTGAAGCACCAGCATCCCGTAGCACAGCACGAGTGCAAGTCCCAGTTGCCCTGCCTCCCCTCCAGCTCCCTGCTAACACACCTAGGAAGACAGGGGAGGGCAGCCAGTGCCACCCACAGGGGAGACCCAGGTGGAGTTTCATGGCCAGGCTTCTACCTGGCCAGGCCTGGCTGCGGGGCCATTTGGGGAGTGAACCAATGGATGGACGCTATCACACTTTGACTCTCTCTCTCCCCGTCTTTCTGCATATCACTTTTCCTCTTACAAAAACAACATCAATCTGTAAGAATAACAACAAAGAAGATAGTAAAATACAGAGGTTGTGGTTTCCTCCCCTCCCGTCCCATCATAAGCATCTCTGGGCAGGGAGGCCGACTCTTACTGCAGAGAGGTTTGGAACGAGACCTTTGCTTTCTGGGATACGCACACACTGGGACACAATGATTCCTCAACTCACTAGATTTTCATTTTCTATATAGACCGTAAGCTAAAACTATAAGCACCAGTGAGTAACAACTTGGGCCTCAGTCAGTTTCCCATTTAAAAAATAACAAGCATTTTACCACCCAATCTGCTGAAAAGTTTAAAAAAAAAAATTCTGATACAATGGAGAGAATGCCTAAAATGTAAAGAACTAGAAGGTACAGAAAATATATCTATGTCCATATAAGTCTATATACATACTTGCATCTATATTTATGTACAAATAACATCTAGCTTTATTTATATATTTTATTTAACATTATATGTCAACCAGTATATGGCTAACAGATTGCAACATTAGTGGGAAGATACATATTGTTCCACAATATGTTTTTCTATGTACAAAGCATAACGAAACAAAACTTCCGTGAGTGTGAAAAAAAAAAAAATCAATAAAATACCCTCTGTTCTCTCTCTGGTCTCAAAACATTTGGATTCAAAGGACAGCCACGCCTCCAAGACGGTTAGAACAAGAGGGGTCTGGATGCAGAAGACCAACCTTTCGGAGTCACTGCCAAGGTATGGCAAATCCAAGTTATCTGAGCAATGTGAAGCATGAGAAATTTCTGTGGAAAAACCAACATTTCAAAGAGGCCAGACAGTACAGAAACGGCATTCTACTTCCACTTGTGCGTGGAGTAGGGAAGGAGGCCCCCTCAAAAAATAAATAAATAAATAAATACATACATAAATAAAAAGCGCTTTCTTAAAGGAAACTTACTGAGCAACAGTTTACCTAGGGGCATACAATGCAAAGTCTTCAAGAGAACGAAAATAAACATGTGTTGTCTAAACACAAAGACCTCTCCTTTGCTGTCTCCAAAAATTTGCAGGCTGATCTTTTTGACAGTTTCCCCTCAATTTTTTCCTCTCCCCCTCTCTAGAGGAGCCTGCCTATTTCATCAAGTCTGAGATGACAGCAAAAATCCACAGCTTACTGGAGACCGAGCGAAGGAGTCAGAGGCTCAGCCGCACAACTCAGGCGCAAGCCACCGCAGGGATGCTCAGACGGAAGAGCCTTGCAGGAGCGAGAAGAAAAGGCAGCTTGGAAATCCCCGATGGATGATAAACCCGTGTGGCTGCCATGCTCCTACCCTCTGACTCTGCCTGCTTGAGCAACTGGGTGTTTTCTTCTTAGCTTCTTAATACAAAACACAATCAGGGCTTTGCACGGAGTGGCAGCTCTCCCCACAGAGAGAGGGCACAGATGAGGAGCCGTGGGACAGCAGGCATAAGGGAGCAGCAAGGTCAGTACAGGCAGAGCTCCCGCCACTGCTGCCGCCAGACACTCGGGTGACACGCCCACCCCAGGCCACCACAGATCTCCCCTTGCACCCTACCCCACCCCTGCCTGCTACGGAGCACTGCGATGAGACATCGTGTCTCAAACATGTGGCTCACCAGCTCCTACAAGAGCCATCTGGAAAATCACAGGGAGGTTTTTCTTTCATGTCCCACGCCCGAATCTCCCTCCAGAACATCACGCCAGCAGCCACGCGTGTTGCCAGGGCCTCTGCGGCTTCTGAGACATCCACTCCTCTCCTTGCCTGCAACCCCAGCTCCAGCTACGCTGGACTTTGGGAACAGCCTGCCCCCTTCTGGTCTCCTTGAGCTCCTTGGAAGGGCAGGGGCTGGGTGGGCACAGTGGGAGGGAGGAGGGCAGACCCCCAGGATGGGGGCACAGCCAGTAGGTATGTGCTATGATTGCCAGGCCACTGGCATGGATATATGGGAGGGGACAGAGGCGAGAGAGATGCAAAGAAAACCCAAATCCAGGTGCAGGGCAGGAAAAAAAAAAAAACAGGAAGGGAAAAGGACAGAAAACAGAGCAAAATGACTTAGATGTTTGAGTCGGAAGGTGAAGAAGACATTGAGATGCTGGAAGAGGTGGGTGGGAGGATGGCAAAGTAAAAGCAGAAGCCTCAGAAAAAGCAAAGCACCTCCAGAACTGGACCAGAATTCCATGAGGAACCAGCACGGATCATGGCAAACACCCTCCTCCAGGGCTCTCTGGGATGGGGCAGAGAACAAGGCACTGAGGCTAAAACAGAACTGGGGATGGATACTGCACAGGCGGAGGGGCCCGAGAGGACCAGCCAGTCCACACCCCTTCCTTCTCTTCATTTGCTTCAACAGGTGGTCTGCTCACTCCAGAGGGGACCCAGTAAACCTCTTCTGCCTTCCAAGCCCACCCCATGTCTTTGCACACAGAGCCAGCAACACCTGCTGCCGAGTCCCCCTCCTACCCTGCCTCCCTGCAGGGTTCTGAGTCCTGAAAGAATCTGTGATTGCCTTGCTGTTGCCAGCACACATCATGACCCACTCTGGGAGTTTAAACACCTTTGGAATTCAGAATACCCTTCCCCGTTCATGGGAGGGATGGGGCCAGGGGGCGTACGAGACCCTGGGAATGTCCTGGGCTCTCCCTGCTACCCACAGAGTGACATGAGATGCCATCACATCTTGCCCCCAACCCCCAGGGCTGGCTCCGACCACTGGCACAGAGAGGCGCACGCTGGCACAGAGGGTCACACAAACTCCGGAGAAAGTTGAGCAGCGCAGGGATGTGTCACGCTGTGCACAAAGGTGGTCTCTGGTGAGACTCCCAACGTGGCACACGGCAGGGCCACGTGCCCAGTCCCTAAGGAAGCGGATGTCTCTCCCTTTCTCTCTCTCTCTCTCAAACATACAGACACCACCCCTTGTCTGCTCTCCTTCACACACTCAGCAAATCCCTGCAGGCAGCCAAGTGGCAATGCTACAGACACATACATAACACACATCAGTCATGTCTGGAGACGGTGGCTCCCACCCACCCAATGGGGGGTGCAGTGGAGTCCCCGGACCCCACTCAGGGACTCCAACCCTCTGCCCTGTCTCAGGTGGAGATGGATAAGAATGACATCCCAGAAGCAGCTGGGGGACATTAAGGAAGGCAAAGCAGCTTCCCACCCAGACACCCGGAGGGCCCCAGTCAGTCTGCGCCAGACAGCTTTATAAACTGTTTGTTCACAGCCTAGGAGGGCGGTGTGGACGGACCCACACCGGGCAGAGAAAGGGAACCGGAGCCCGGGCTCCCACCAGGGAGGTGCTCAAGTCAGAAAGAGAGAGCACAAGGTTAGAGACCGAGAACGGGCAGACTGAAGGCTCAGACCACCACAGAGGGGACACAGGGTACACAAGGTAAGCCTGGGCACCCTCGACGGAGTCTCCATTGGGGCGCACCCACGCAGGCCAGAGAGAGCAAGGGGCTTTGCTGTCCGCACTGGACTCGGCCAGGACCTGCAGCTGCGGGAGCCACCCCTGAGCAGCTGCTGAGGATCAAGGCGTGATGCACGCACCAGGCAAGGGGAGAGTGGCATCAGCGGGTCCCCACACTAGACGCAGTTCTGGGGTCCGGGCACCGGCAAAAGCAAAAGGAACAGGAACCCCTGCCGGCTCCGGTAACCCCCAGGACGCCTCCTCAGGAGAGAACTTCCCCAGACCTTCCTAGGGAGCAGTCCTCAGACTGCAGGGGGGCACACAGAGTCCCGTATCCTAGTACCAGGGTTCAAGGACTGCGGTCGACCTCGGCTTCCCTCCCAGCCTCCCAGCCAGACGCCAGCCCATAGGGGATCTTACCAGCTCCCGAGCGGGCAGTGCCCCTCGGCGGGCCGACTGCTGCGCCCGCGGATCTCCGGGGCCGCCTCCCCGCACCCGTGCCGGGAGCCCCCGTCCTCCTTCACTGCCGCCTCCTCCTCGGGCTGCAGCCAGCTCCGCGGGCAGGTCCCGGCGCTCCCGGCGCGGAGCCGGGGCTGGGGCCGGCTGCTCGGCGGCGCCGCCGACCGCTGCGCCCGCGCGGCGCTCGCCGGCCCCGGAGTCGAGGCTGCTGAAATTCCACACGACCAGCGTCTGCAGCAGCAGCACGGTGAGCGCCGCGAGCAGCGCCGAGTGAGAACGCCGGGCCAACCTCCGGGCGCACGGCGCCGCCACCATCTTCAGAGCGCGGCGGGCGAGCGGGGCGCGGGGACCCCGGCGCGCTCCGGGCCGCCCCCGCGCTGCCCGCGCTGCCCGCGCTGCCCACGGCCGCCGGCTGCCACTCGGGCTCCCGCTCGGGCCGCCGCCGCCGCCTCGGCTCGCCGCGCTCTTCCTCCTCCTCCTCCTCTGCCGCCGCCGCCGCCTCCACCGCCGCGGCGCGGAGTTTTCAGACGGGCAGGGACCCGGACGTCACCAGGAGGAGGGGAAGGCGGGGAGGCGGGAGCGGGAGGCCGCGGAGGGGGTGGCTGGCGGGCGCGCGCGCGCCAGAGGTGGGGTACCCGGGCGCGCGGTGTGAGGGCGCGTAGCCCCTACGAGTCTCCCCTCCCCACACCCTTGTCCAGGGTTGGAGGGGTGGGTGATGGGGCAGGGGGCCCAGGGGCGGGGACTGGTAGGGGGCGCGGACCGGGGCGGAGAGGGGCGGGGCTGAAGGCGGAGCCGAGGTGCGGGAAGGCGGAGGGAAAGGAGGGGCGGTGAGGCTAGCAGACTGACACCTCCAGGACTCGCGGGGGAGCGGGGCGGGTTCCCCGAGGCAGAGAGGAGAACCAGAGAAATCGGGAAGAGGGTAGGGGTCCTCTGAGCGAGGGGTCCTAAGAGCCCGCCTTCTGCATGGGAAGCAGGCAGGTGAACCCAGCGGGCTGCTCGCCCGGAGTTATGGGCGGCCGGTGGAGACCCCGGGACCCTAGTGGCGGGAGAGCCTCAGCTGGGTCTCCGGGTCCTGGCTGGAAGGGTGTGGAGTCTCTAAGCCCCGAAGCGCCGCGCCGGCCTGTGAGTGACTCCTGAATCACACTCCGCCCCACCCCCAACCCCCAACGGTGCGCCAAGTGCTCACTGAGTCACCGCGCGCATCCCCAAGGACTCAACCCACTTGGCAGCAAAGTGCTCCGTTGTGAAAAAGGAGACCCGCGGGGTTTCCTTCACGGGCTGTGAGCCCCCAAGTCTGGCCCTTGCGCTTCTCACTGCACCCACCCGGAAGCCAGCCTTCTGTCTACACGCGCGGCTCGCTAGCTCTTGGAGCCTGGGTCTTGCTTTGCCAAGTGGAGTTCTTTGCCATCCTGACCTGTCTGCCCTGGTGACCTTGAGCCAGGAGGGTTCCTCCCAGGCCCCAGTTGCCTCCTCCTCTGTCAGTGACCTCCATCCTCAGCCCCGACTCAGTCTGGTCTTTCCCTCCCCTGTTCTCTTCCCGGAGGTTTTATTCACAGCAGCGTGGGATGCTGAGCCCATGGGTTGAGTTGCTGTACCCTGTGGGAATACAGATCACATCCACAGGCTAGGACATTTGGGACTTGGGGTAAATGCTTTGCATCTCTTTCCATGCTTTCCATGTCTTTTGACCTCATGCTAATTTTAAGCGAAGCCCATGAACCACCAAGAGAGATAGGAAGGGAGGGAGTGGAGACTGCTGAACCAGACAGGCAGATGCCTGTGTAAGGAGGGTGGGGTAGGCATTGGACACTTGCTGGCATCCTATGTTGGAGTCCCTGAGTTCAAGTCCCAGCTCCTATTCTGATTCCAGCTTCCTCCTAATGTGCCCCCTGGAAAGCAGCAGAAGATAGCCCAAGTGGTTGGGCCAACATGGCCCCTGCCACCCATGTTGGAGACCTGGATTGAGTTCCAGGCTTCTGGCTTCAGCCTGGCCCAACCTGACAAAGGTCTTTGGAGAGTAAATCAATGAATGCAAGATAAACCAAAGAATGCAAGATCCCCTCTTTCTCTTTCTCCCATCCTCTCCCTTTCAAATAAATAAATAAATAAATAAATAAATAAATCGGTTAGATGTAGTGAAGCTGGTGCCCCTAGAGATATGCCCAAGTTCTGAGAGTTCATGGGAGGTTGGACGTGCTGGAAGGACCCCCACCTCCAAGAAAGAAAATGCAACTTAGCCAAACCCATGCAACTAGCCAACCTGCTTCCCTGACCTAGCAGTGCCAAATGCAAACTCCTGACCAAAGTTAGTCTCAGGAGCATCTATGGCCTGGTCTGGCAGGTGGCTGGCCCCCTTTCTTCTGGGCTACGTATGTCTAATGAGGAGTGGGACAAAAGCACAAAGACAAGCTCCGAGGGCCACCCATCTGCTGCCATGTTGATCAGGTGACCATCTTTGGGTCATCAGCAAGAAAACCTTTTGTCCTAAAAGCAGGATCCTGTGACCAAACATTCCAGAGGATGAATTTCAGGTGAGGTTTGATCCCAGCCACTCAGCACTACCACTGAGGGTTCCTTTCAGTCCACATCTCCTCTCTGCCTCCCATGAGAGCCTCGTGTCATATCACAGGTGTTTGTCCTCAGGAGCTCAGACTCTGGGCACCCCTGTGCTCTCTTCTGACCCAGGGAAGAGATGGTCAGTATTTCCCAGGATTCTCTGCAAAAGCCCACCCCTAAAGCTGTCACAGTGGCTAGTAAAACAGCAATGTGCTGCTCAGCTGGGCCAAGGTCCCATTTGTGTCTCTTCCCCCGCCCTCTCCTCCACCCCTCCAGTTTCCTGCAGCCACTTGGTTGTTCCCCAGGAGTTGGAGTCTGCTAGGAAGGAGGGAGCAAGTGCAAGGAAGGTAGCCCCAAACTTTAATCTATGCCTCCTCAATCCTGCTACACACCCTTGGGCCACCCCACCCCATCCCAGGACTTCCATTTCTTTGATGACAAATGAGTGGACAGTCCCTAAGAGCCACCCTCTTTCCCTTGGTGTCTAAATGGTGTCCCAATCCCCGGGAGTCTTGGCAACCCTGCCCTCTGGCCCAGCTCTGCTTTCCAGATCTCTGCTGCATTTCTTCCCTAGGCAGCATGATGTCGTCTGTTCCCTCCACCAGACACATTCAGAGTGCTGGGGTCAGCACTCTGGTGCAATTCCCTTGGGACCATGAGCCTAAGGATTGAGGTTAAGGTCCCTGGAATGGGAGGGCACGGGTGCACTAAAGAGACAGAGAGAGTTCCTAGATTATCTCAACTCATAAAACACCACACAAGGAAAAGGTTTCAAAGCCTCCGGCAGGCTATGGATGCCATCAGCATTTTTAGGAGGAAAATCACTGAGATGGAAGAGCAGGAAGGTGAGCTCCTGGGTCACCAGGTCCATTGTCCTGCCCTGAGACAGACCCCCAAGCATCTTGCAGTGAGGAGGTGAGCCCAAGAAATGACAGAATAGCAGGTGGCTTGGATGGGGGCGGTGAACTCCAGCATATCTGAAATGTCCATCTCAGCTCATGGCTGGGGGCATGGGTGCTTTGGGTAGCAACAGAGGCCCTGAGAGCAGGGTGTGGGCATCAGTTCTCATCCAAGTCCAGCCAGCCACAAGCCAGCTATTTTGTAGCAGGAAAGACCCTCCCTTTAGCCCTCAAAGTGACACAAAGAGAGACAGGTGGAGCTTGGTGTGCCAGAGTGAGCAAAAGCAACATCTGGGACCCCAGCTGCAGCCCTGGACACAGCAGTGACTTTCGGAATTTTGAAAGCTCTCTCTCTGTCATTCAACAAAGATATGCTGGACACTGTTACACACTGGGCAAGTGAGCTAAAAGCATGCAAAAGAAGATTGTCTAAAGGAATTCTCTTTTTGAGGATGGTCCCTATGCTCACTTGATTGACAGCCAGGCTTCTAAAGAAATTTCATTCGATTTGTTGGATGCTCTTCCTACCCACATCACCACATCTTGTCTCATCCTCACTTCTCAGTGCAAAGAGAGGCAATGCAGGGTTCGGAGCTCCTGGCTAGGCCTGGTCCTGAGTAGGAAGCCTTAAGAGAAATCAGCAGGAGTCTTCACTCTCCCTACACCTGCTCAGGAGGTGGTGGGGGACAGACAGGCTCATGGGCAAGGAAGTGCAGAGTCAGTGTGGGGAGTGGTCAAGAGCCTGACAGCCCAGGCCAGATTCCCAACTCTGCCACCTTTTTGCTGAGATATTTTGCATCATCTGTTAACTTTTCCTCATCTACAAAATGGGGCTTTTCTCAGCGCTTGTAACAACAAAATGAGATAACTCACGAAGACTCTTGCCATAGAGACCAGCACTTACTAAGCACTCAATAAGTGAGATATTAGTGCACTGTCTATTAAGATTATCCCAGGATACCAGAGAGACAAAAGTAAAAACCATAGGCAAGAAAAGCTACCTAGAAGTGGCACTTGATCTAGCATAGAAGAGTGTAACTACCCCAAGAGCCAAGAGCTCATCTCATTCATCTCTGGCACCTGACCCAGCAGTGCAGGGCCTTGGGTAAACAAACCTTGGCTGTGAAATGTGCACCTACTATGGGCTGGGTGCAGGTGGAATGATCCCAAGGCAGCAGAACAGCCAATGGATTGAAACCCAGGCCCCCGTACCGTGACAATGATGTTTCGTTGTATGCTTTGAAGCAGGGTCCCTGATGTCCCTGAACCTCAACTTTCTCCCCTGTAGAAGGTAAAGAAAAATCATGCCTCGGTGTCTGCAAGCTCTGGGGAGGAGTGGAGGCCCCGCTGAGCATAGACAACCAAGTGTCACATATTTGATATATAAATGGATGCTCTGAGGAATGGCAGGATTGAAGGGCTGCCTGCCTCGGACTGTAAAGAAATGTCCTGCCTTGCCTTCGGCTGGTCCTGCTTCAGAAAAACTCAGACCCTAGGTCTCCCCTGGCCACCTGCTGCTTCTATACACAGCCTCAGAGTCAAATTTGGTCAAGTACATTTTTTCCCCCTGTTAAGTCTCAAACATGTGCCAGTCCCCTTGGTTTATTGCAAATTGTTTCTACCCAGACTCCACATGTTGACCCAACTTTACTCTTAAAAACTGTAAAAACTACCCCCAAGTTTCACTTCTGCATTGAGGCAGAAATCATCCACAGGTGAGTCACCTGTTACCCAGGATCGGGGGAGGAGTTGTGAAGGGGGAGAGCTGGGCCCAGGGCTCCCTCTGGCTCCTCCCTGCTGTCCTACACTCTCCAGCCAGCCCTGGTCAACACAGTTTTCCTGGGCTGGCACAGGTCAGAGGAGCCCCTCCCAGCAGGGAGGCCATGGACAAACAGCACGTGTGCCCCACCTCTGCTCCTACCCCAAAGAACAGAAGGAAATGGCCTCCTCGGAT